TCATGCTCTTCCAGCACGAAAAAAGCTCACTTAGGTCCTCCAGGCCGAGTTCATTTAACTCGCACAAATTAAGCCAAACACCTCGGATTCGCACAGTAAGCGAAATTCTCAACACTCGCAAATGTAAGCCGAATTATCGTAATTCGCAGCATATTAAGTTGAAATCATCACAAATGTAAGTCGAGCACACAGCCTCGGAAGAATCCAATCTTAGTTCACACCAGACTAAAAATACTTATGAAATCCGCCGAACTCCTACAGATACTCTTTCACCGGACTGAAGGGGGGGTTTACTGTTGGTGGTGTACTCTGCACCCTCGGTTTAGCCCGGTACGGACCAAGATTACCACAATTGATTCCGATTTACGATGGCTCATATCTGAAGGACATTTGACCCACTAACTGATTTATAATGTCGGCTTTTACATCCGGATTTCGCGAAATATTTCCTAATCTTGTCTGGAAAAAGGAAATATTCCCAAAAAATAAATCCCCTAGAAAAAAGGAAGTTATTCTTATCTACTCCAAAAAATAAGGAAATCTGCATTATCAAATCAAGAAAAAAAAAGAAAATCAATCGACTTCAAACTCTATAAACAGAGAGCACCTTATTCATTCAAAGACAGATCCAGAACTCCATAGAAAACCCTAGAACACATCCTCTTTCTATTCTATTTGTAATATGAACTATGAATGGCTTGATCCCTCTTTTAAGGGTACATAGGCAGCTCATCTTGAGTTCAGCTATAAAATCAATAAAATCTCTAAATTTTTGTGTGATACTCGGTACCAACAGACCATAATAGAATTCTTACCTTTTGAGGATCATTGTTTATGGGAATATCAGCAACATCATTAAAAGCTAAAGGTAAGACACTTCAGAAGGCAATGCAGTAAACCTGGTGCTTAGGAATACGAAAGGTATAATTTGAAGGGATTGCAATATTATTATTGACATTCTAAATGGAAAATCAGAAAACTACCATATCGAAAATATATATTACGATATCTTACTTTGGAAAACAAATTATGATTTTCCTTCACACATTAGGAATAGGAGCCAACAACTCCTTGGCGGACTTCCTAGCAAAACACAAACCTCCAAATTTGCTATTTTATTCTGCTAAATTGTATCCACCAATGTGGTTACCAAATGCTGTATTTGCTGATTGTAATAACTCTTTCAAATATATATAAACTAGATGTCTTGCCCGCGCCTTGTGCGGAGTCCTGAGAGGTTTAAAATTGTGAAACAAAATTTTATATAATATGAATCAAAAGAATCAGAACAACTGAGACGTATATGATCAAAATAAAATAAACTCATAAAATAAAATACCTAAAATGCAATACTAAATAAGTGTATGGAACCCACAAACCAACTGAACTAAAACAAATATGAATTCTTCATTTTCACATAATGGTTATTCGTTTTCTTCTTTTTCCTCCTCTTTATCGTTTGGTTGTTCTTCTTTATCGTCTTTTCTTTATTCTTCTTCATTGTCTTCCAACCATCCAATATCTGTGTAGGTAGATCATAAGTATCAGTACTCTAATACTACATAGAGATGGCACGATAATCACGTTAAAGGGAAGAAAAGAAGCACCTATGCATTGTAAAATAACAAAAACCAATGACCAATTATAGTCAAAAGCTTAGACAATTATAATACTTATAAACAATAAGAAGAATCATGTATAAAACAAATTAGTTTTGATTATCTTTGCCTTTTCTTCTTCTTCCTCTTATTTATTTCATTTCTCACCTTTTCATTTCTACTTCTTATTTCTCTTCTGATTTGTCTTCTTCCTCGTTTTCTTCTTCTTTGTTCAATTCTTCTTCATATTCTTTATCTTTCAGTTTTTTCTTCTTCATATTTTCCTTATTCTTTTTCATTGTGTTTGATCAATTCTTCCCTTGACTTTTTTTTTTTCCGGGTTTTACTCATATTCTTCTTCCTTATCCTATTTTAATGTATTTTTCTTCTTTCACTTCGAATTTTTCTTCTTCCTCTTTTCCATCGAATTCAATTTTCTCTTATTCCTCTTATTCATCTTTCGGAGTTTCTTCTTCATCATTTTTCCTTCTTCTTCTTCATCGTCTTTGACTTCTACTTCTACTTCTTCTTCTTTGACTTCCTCTGCTTCCTCTTACATATCTTTCAATCTTCTTACCCCTCATCCTTTTCTTCATCATCGTCTATGCCTCCCCGACTTTTTATTTTGATTTTTCTTCGTTTTTTCTTTGATTCTCAGTCTTCATTGTATTCGTCTTTTCAGAATAGTTATTATTATGATTCGTATTTTCTCTTGTCTCCATATTCTGATTTGTTTACTTGCACGGACAATGGTTTCATCTCTCTCTCCCTCCATCTCCCCCTTTTTCTGTATCTCCTTCATTCCCTCTCTCTCTCTCCATTGCTCTCTCTCTCCTCCCCTCTTTGTATCTCCCTCTCTCTCTCTCCATCCCTCCCTCTCTATATTCATAACTTAGATCTTATTCTTCTTCTTCTCTTTAAATTAATGATAAATTCTACAATATAGCTTTAGCCTTATCTCTTCAACTTCTCCTTCTCTCTTTTGTTCTCTTTGTTACCTTCAAGCCTTCGTCATCTTTTTTTTCCACTTTCTCATATCAATCACACATTTCTTTGCCACCCAACTATCTTTCCTCGTTTCATCCATTGTTTTCCTTAGCTTCCGTGTTTTCACGCATTTCAGTCAGGGGTTTAGACCCGTTTTAGTATTGTCGAATTCAATGTACGAGTGTTCAATCTTTGTTGGCTCGTGTTTAAGTAAACTAGTGAACTTCAGAAACACATAACAGTCTGAATTGAGTTTTTTTTTTAACTTAGAAACCTATTCGAGATTTCATCTCATCATTCAACTCTTCTTCAAAGATACACTATAAGCTTTATCTTCTAAGATTTGAGTTTTAGGGAAGCAATCACAGGATGGACTGTTTTAGGATAAATTTAATTCAAAAACTAAATTTTTAAAGTAACGGAGTTATGCGACACAAAAATTACTTTTTACACATCAAAACATATGAGAAATGCAACATGTGAGTATGTTCATTCTTTAATTCACAAGAATTGCAGTCATCTATGTTTCTTAGATTCTGGTGTCAGAGAATCATCAATTTATTCGGTACTCCGATGAAGCCTGAAACACTAAAAATGTAGTTCCAGCAAGCTGAAACAAATTACAAGGATGCTGAAAATTATGACCTGAATATTTCTTTAGAAAATATTCTTCTTCCTCTGTATTGGTGACTATCCTTCCTTCAGCTGGTTTTATCTCTCATTAGGGGTTAAAAAAATTGATGAGTTCATGAACAAACGATGAAACTAAGAAGTATGTCAAAGAATTAACCATAATATAATTCAACTCCAATTAGATGGTGGCATTTGCAATTGGTTTGCACTCTGTTTCCAATACGATTGTTGTATATCAACACAAAAACTTGACATGCGTAAAGATTCTAGTCACACTGAATATAATCTCGTTGTCACCTGCTTTTCCTTTGCTCTTTGAAGTTATGAGACATCACATTCCCATTCATCGACTTACCAACAAAGATATTGTTTTAATGCCTGATAGGTTTAATAGAGAGAGTAATTTAATATTTTCTGATAAAAATTTTGTGTTGGGTAAAAATCAAAACTATAAAATATTTTTTCCAAAACAACATAATTGCCTTTGGGCAGAAAACAATAGGAAAATTATAAAACAATAAACCTTGTTTTGTTCATGTTATATATCTTTAGTAAACTATGAAACCAAAACTAATTCGAACCAGTTACTCTTTTTCTGCTTAAAGATGCATGTCCACACAAGCTACAACGAAAATAAATCATAAAATTATATTTAGAAATAAAAATAAACATAAACAACAAGATAAATAAAATATATAGTAGAACCCAAGGAGAAACAAACAACAATCAAACAATCAAACAATAAATAACATCCATTCAAAAATATGTTATCAGAAAAAAATAATACAAACTTAAACTAAAACATGAATTATACACACAAAGAAAACTCCTGTGGTTTTGATCCTTCTAAAAATATAAAAATAATAAATTTGAGAGTTTACGAATATCAATCAAGCAAATTAGAAGTTCTAATAATTTGTTGACCAAAAAAAGAAGTACTAATTATTTATTTACAATTACCTATTAGATTCATGTGAATATATGATTGCAAAAGTTCAAACTAATCATCTATAGTTTGCAGAATGAACTCTAGGTTCAAGGAATACAATAATTATAAATCTATATTTACAAACAATAACTCAAATATATCCATAGGAAAAATTTAATAAAGAAGAACACGAATATCTAATATGGAAGCAACGATTTTATATATAGAATTACAAAGTAAAACAAAGAACAATATGATATCTCGATGACCAATCACATAGAGAGTAAAACATGGGTTAAAAAATCAGATATCTGTGATGCATAATAATATAGAACACGATAAAAAAGCATAGATATTTGACCGCTTAGCATAGAAGAATTCCAATCGGAACAAAACGATTAAAAAAAGTTAGCATGGAAGAACAACCAACTAAACAAACAATATAATTTAAACCAGATCGGGATATACAAAAGATGTATTCGTGAAAAAGAGGTGGACGAGTTTTGTAAAAATTGGTAGACCTTAAAAGATGGTTGTTGTATGTAAAAATATATGTAGTGATACTGATATATATAGTAAGATAGATGCTTTAGGGTTTAGGGGTTCAACGTTGGTGTTCCATTATAGAATCGGTAGTTCTGACCGAGAACAAAATCGCTAACCCATAAATAAATTTGCTGGTCTATAAACAAATTTGTTGGCCCATTATCGAATGTAAAAACTATGTCACAGATTTTTACGTGTAGGATTAATAATCTATTTATCAAAACAAATTAAAACGATATATAATATCTTATGTATAAAAGGAGACACGTCAGATTGATTATTTTTTAATTTCTTTTCCCAAGTTAGCATTTCTTTCAATCGTAAAATTTCTAAAAACCTAAGCATCATCCACCGCTGAAGAACACCGCCGACCCGCCGTTGAGAGTTGCTTCCGACGCCGATGCATCATTTCTGTCGACTCACTAAAGCAAAGTAAAAAGTAGTGAAGGCTCTGCCTTCGTTCTCTCTTCCTTTCACTTTATTACTTTTCTCGAATACGATTACCAACGAATCTGGATACGTCTTCCGTCTTCGCCGGATTGGATGCGTTAAGCGCTTGTAGGATCAAATATTAGTGTTCTAGAGGTTTTGGGGACAAAGTTGCAGCAATTATAGAGCTCTGACCTCACACGTGTGTTTACCTTTCACTTTCTTATGTATCTCCTGGTTCATTTCAATTGCTCCTTCGCCATGACCGCCATTGCTCTGTTTAGATTGGTTTGCTCTGCATTGTACAATGACGCTGATGGCGAGGGCAAATATCTTCCCCATTTTCCCCAGTTTGTCGTTGCAAACCCACTCTCAGTCAGGACCCAGGTGACATACATATCAACATTTTGTTTCCCCACTTGTTTTTAATCCTACTTCAACGCTTCTCTAAATGTCTCACCTTTTTATATGCAGGTTGGAGTTGTAAAGGTAGGCTCCAGAATGTTCCTCCTGTGACTGCTTCCCTGTTGCGGAATATCTA